TGCCGCGGCCTGCGCAATAGAGTCGGGGCTGGAATCCGGGGGTTCGGCCGGCCGGCCGCCTCTGGAGCGGGGGACTTTTTTTGTAGACCTACTGTACCCGGTCCGCTCGCCTCAAGACGCACTCGCCTTCGTCTCACCCGGCGCTGCGTATTTCACCAAGCTGGACAGCAAGGCGGGGTACCACCAGGTCCCCATCCGGCCAGAAGACAGAGACGAGACCTGACGTGTTTTATCACGCCGTGGGGCCGCTACCGGTACCTGAGGGCTCCAATGGGAATCGTCAGCTCTGGCGACGTGTACAACCAGCGCGGTGACGCCGCGCTCGGCGACATCCCGCGCACGTGTAAGGTCGTGGACGACGTCCTGGCCTATGACGCTGACTACGCCGCCCACCTGCAGCACGTGCGGCAGATTCTGCTAAGGTGTGACCAGCACGGTATCACACTCAACCCGGACAAATGTCAGTTCGCGGAAGACGAGGTCGAATTCTGCGGCTTTCGCATCAATTCGGCTGGCTATACCGCCGACGGCAAGAAAGTCCGTGCCATCCAGGCCTTCCCCAGGCCGGGCAACATCACCGGTCGTTCCTCGGCCTGGTGACCCAGCTCGGCGCCTTCTCCCCAGAGGTCGCCGCCGCCGCCTAGCCGCTGAGACAGCTGCTGCGGCCGCGGAACGCGTGGCTGTGGACGCCAGCGCACGAGCAGGCGTTCAGCGCGGTGAAGATGGCACTCACGTCGCCTCCCGTGCTCGACTTCTTCGACCCTCGCCGCCGCACAGTCCTTGAGACTGACGCCGCTCGCTCCGGCGGCCTGGGCTACTGCCTGCTGCAGCAAGACGCCGCAGGCCGGTGGCGACTGATCCAGTGCGGCTCACGCTTCCTATCGGACGCCGAGTCGCGTTACGCCGTGATCGAGTTGGAGCTGCTGGCCCTGGCCTGGGCCTGCAAGAAATGCAGCATCTATCTCGGCGGGATGCAGCGGTTTGAAGTCCTGACCGATCACCGGCCGCTCATCCCGATCCTCAACAGTAAGAGCCTTGCGGAGATCGAAAATCCGCGGCTCCAGCGGCTACGAGAACGGCTGGCGCCGTTCAACCTGCTCGCCATCTGGCGGCAAGGCAAGCTGCACGCCATCCCGGACGCGCTGTCGCGCGCGCCGGTGGATGACCCGGCGCCTGAGGACGAGGAAGCCGAGAGGGACGCCAGCCATCAGCTCGCCAGCGTGCTCTCACGGCTGGCCACCGACGGGGCGGACGACGGTCCCAGCCCGTTCAAAGACGCGGCGCTGACAGAGGTGCGCGCCGCCGCCGCCGCCGATCCGGAGCTCATCGCACTCACTGACCTGATCCTGAACGGGTTTCCAGAGCACCGGTCACAGCTGGACCCGCGCCTCCGACCGTATTGGGGAGTTCGGGACCGGCTGGCCGTGGACGACGGCCTGGTGGTGTGCGGCCAGCGGCTCGTGATACCGCCCAGTCTGCGGCGCGCCACGCTCGAGCGCCTGCACGCCAGTCACCAGGGCGTCGAGCGCACCAAACGCCGCGCGCGGCAGGTAGTCTACTGGCCGTTCCTGGACAGTGACATTGCGAACCATGTCGGAGCGTGCCCGGCCTGCCAGCAGTACCTGCCCAGTCAGCAGAAGGAGCCGCTGATGCCGGAAAAGACGCCATCACGAGTGCTTGAGGCTGTCTCCGCTGACTACTTCGCCTGGGCCGGCCGCACGTTCCTGGTATACGCGGACCGGCTGTCCGGGTGGCCGTTTGTGTCGCACGTGGCCGGCGAGGCGACTGCCAGAGACCTGGTCTGCAGCCTGCGCCAGATATTCGCGGCCACCGGCGTGCCCACCACCCTCCGGACAGACGGTGGACACCAGTTCACCGCCCGGCTCACCCGAGAGTTTCTGCGCCGCTGGGGAGTGGAGCACCAGATCTCTACACCGCACTACCCTCAGTCTAATGGGCACGCCGAGTCGGCGGTCAAGGCCGCCAAACGGCTCATCCAGAAGGCGACCAGCAGCGGCGAGCTCGACACGGACGCCTACGCGCAGGGGCTGCTGGAGCTGCGCAACACGCCGCGCGCCGACGGCCGCTCTCCGGCTCAGGTCCTGTTCGGCCACCCGCTGAGATCGGCAGTGCCGGCGCACCACCGGGCCTTCGCCGACTGCTGGCAGCGGGCGGCGGACGACTGTGACGCCAGGGCCGCCGCGCAGCAACAGGAAACAGCCGAGCGGTACGACACGACAGCCCGCCAGCACAGCGCGCTCACCATGGGTCAGCGTGTGCTCGTCCAAGACCCGCGGTCGGGGCTGTGGGACCGCGTCGGCGTCATCACGGCGGTCGGACAGCGGCGCGACTACCTGGTCCGGCTGCCCAGTGGCCGAGTCTACTGGCGGAACCAGCGCTATCTGCGACCCCAGAGATCTCTCATCTCGGAGGGCGCCGCCACACCTGCACCCGGGCGCCGGCAGCAGCTCGCTCCGAGCTCGGCACCCGACGGCACGGAGGAGACCGCCGCCGCTGCGCCGGCGGGCGGACAGCCGGCACCACCGGTGCTGCGGAACAGCGCCGACGACCCCAGCTCAGTGCGCCGTGGGACGCGCCGCCGTCGCCGTCCGGCCCGACTGACCGTGCGCTGGGCGGACCAGACGTACGACTGAGTTCGTGCGTCCACACCGTGTGTGGTGTACATTTTTGTTTATGTGTTAGACGCAATGCGTATCTTGTACCGACGCATGCGTCTTGAGGGGGGGGGGGGTGTTGTGATGGGGCACGTTTTCCTTTCCCTTCATTTGGTCTCACCCCCCGGTCATATGGAAGCACATAAAAAATAAACAGTTCCATGGTCGCCGCCATCGTGTTTCGGTCGTCCTGTGTCGCTCCAAGGATATCGCCGTGTTAATCGCCACTACCGACCATAACAGAACTGACGCATCGGCGGAAGCGGGAGTCCGCAGCGGAGAAGCCTTCGTGGAGTGTACACGGGTGTGGGAAATGAATGCTAAGTGTATCCAAATTGAAGGCACTGCTCTCGAATGATATAAATACTGAACAGCTTTGGATTGTTTATATTCCAAATGTTTACTTTCAGGACGAGTACTCCTTGTCATTCGGTCGTCAACTCCTCTCTCCGACCCCGGCTTAGCGCAGGCACGTATAACCTAGAATTTGGCCGAGGGGGGGGGGGGGGAGCGGAGGAATCCCGTAGAGAGAGCCTCCTACCTACAGAGGGCCCTCTACCCGAGGAGTCAGAGGGGTCCAGGGTCCTAGTGGTCAGACACAGACACTAGCGGTTATTCACAGGAGGCCCCACGCAGTAAATTGAAGGGCCCTAGGTGGCAGGCGAGTCGGAGAGCCTTGATTGTCCTGAGTCCTGACGTGATTTTTTGGGGAATTCCCATGAATTTCGTTCGTCTGACGTCTCCGACGTGATTTTGGCCAACGTTGGCCTTCTGCCAGCATGGGCCCTGAAAACCCCTAGGGGGGAGGCGCACCCCGTCCGTCCCCCCTTGGGTACGTCCCCGGTCGGTCCAGCGGCTCCACACGCGCCTACCGACACACAAGAAACTCTTGCCATTATGTTTGCTTCTGACGCAATCATAACAGAATGACGCTCTTTTGATATGCATGCTGCCATTGCTTTGGAGTCGGTCTTTTGAATTTCTGCGTTTTTTGGATCGGCTCCACTCTCCAGACAGTTGGCTCAGCGGTCAGCCTGATCGACCAGAGCAATGCGACACCTATACCAACTTGATACCAACCTTCTTGGCGGGGTGGTCAATTCATGAAGTGCGAATGCAAAACATGGCAATAGATGGCGGAACGAACAGCATGGGGATTAGGCTGGGACAGGCATTGAGGAATGAAATCCGTCACTTCCCAGATTTCGAACGCATCCTTAGAGTGCATTACTTTTATGTGCTTGCGTTCGGTCTTGGGATTTCTCAGCAGATGTCGCCAACAGTAGAGAGATTGATCTAGAATGTCTCGTTATCGGAAAAGTATGGTAGCCATACACCAAATGGTTTTTGCGTTTAGCTACCATATTACTTCCGATATGACTGTTGACATCACTGCCGATATGACGGAGCAGTGCATTGGCAATATGCCAAGGGCAGTAACATGCCGTCAGTCACGTCAGTCATCGGTCTTGGCTATCTGTAAGGATCTTGGCAGGAATCTTGGCCTTTTCTTGGACCCATAGCCTCGGCCTTCGACCAATCATATCGCCGAATTCGCAAGCGGTGAGAGACAAATACGGCGTGCCAAAGACATATTGGGTGTCTCAAAACCACTGAGAACTCTGTAGCTCACCAGAGCGCTGTTCGGCAGCCGGCTATTTTGTGTGCAGGGTATGACGTATTTCGCGAGCCGACGTCACAGGCGGTGACGTCGGCTCGCGCGCGAGCCGAGCGCCAACGACAAACTAACGGGAACCCTCGGACACCCTCGGGGCATAAACCGCGGAGTAGCATATTGAGCGAGTCTTATAAGGAAAATTCATATATTTTCGTTTCTCAAATGATAATCAGGGTGTCTCTTACCTTTTTACATATCATTTAGGCTTACGTAACACTTCAGTTGCCAAATATCTGCAATTTATTCAAGCGAAGGTATTTTCAGTAAATATCAATGGTATAGACTGGAATCTTTAGAATAAAAACTCCAACCAACAGAAATAAAAATAACTTAATTTATTCCAACAATTTCCTCCAGATAAACAACATAAAAACTCACTTTTACACACATCATTCATAACAAAGCATACTAACACGCCGCTTTTGACAATTGCGGCGTCGAGTGGCGCGCTGCTAGCGCTCTTTTTCGATCGCAGAGACCCTGCACGCGCGCGAGCACACTACGTCACGTCCGGGGGGCACAGGTATATGAAAAATCGCAGTGACGTAACACTTTTCTCGCTTCTCATTGGTCAATAGCCCGTTGCCGGGGTAACGTGCACGTATGTGAGCGCGGGCAAGAGTACTAGCCGGCCGCCGATCAGGGCTCTGCACTCTTTTAGATCTACCCCGTTGAGTGGCATTCTTGTGAAAATTATGTAAAGATATTTATCAGAATAAGGTAGAAGTGTAGGGGGTGGCAGGTGAGGTGCAGAAGAAGAAGAAGAAGAAGAAGAAGTTGTACCTATCCAGTAATTTTATCTTGATTTGTGGACTAGACGAAGACTAGATTTTGATGAAGAAATCGACAAACTTGAACTGCAGGTAAGGTGTTGGTTTGTCATGCCGATTGTCTTGAAACCCTTTCCCATAGGCGCGAGAGCCGGGGGGCAGTGGGGGCAGCTTGCCCCCCCAACTCTGGGGCCGTGGGGGCGGTGCCCCCACATCTTTGAGACGGAATACCACACTTTTTTTGCAAATGTTTTCTTTTTTTGTTGAAAAAGCCGAGGGGTGAAAAATAAGTGGCCTAAAACCGGTGAGAAAACTAGATTTGGGGGTACCCTAGGTTGATCTCTATTATGGTGTGCCCCCCCAGTCGGAAAGTAGTTCCCGCGCCCCTGCCCTTTCCTTTTAATCTTTCAATTAAAATCATCAACTCCTATCCAAACCACCAAAGAGCCGACATCTCACTCAGTCCAAATTTTCGTTCAGAGGCCAGTTTTACTTTACCCGATTTACCAACAAAAATAGCTGCCTGGAATTTTTCTCCTCATATATCCATTCCACGTAGGTACAACATACAGAGGGTAAACGCGATAGGCATGTAAGCAGTGAGGGCTTCACCATTTACCTACACTCCATATGTGAATTAGCCTTTAGGCAAAATAATCCGGCAAGTGGCTATTTTCTGTTTGTAAAACTGGCCTCAGACGGAGTGCTATCATTTGATTTACCATCACACGATCAGGCAGCAACAAAGTTTGTGGTTTTAGAATCTTGAAAAACTTTCTTGGGAGTGGCACTTGGTAGACATCCGTTTGAGATTCTGCTAGAGCAATAGCATCGCGCTCAAGCCAGCCAAATTTTAGACTGCCAACACAAGAAAAAATTTGTTTGGTTAATCAGATTTCAGGCTTCAAAATATTAGGTAAAGCATCAATAGGCATTTAATTCAATTCTGGTGGTAAAAATCATGACCATATGTTGGCATGACATCAATTTTTAATTTTTTTGTGGTACAACTTGTATATTGAGGCTTGAAGATGCTCAAATAGATGATATTTTTGATGCGTGTGTTGATGAAGACTGAAGTCCAATGAAAATAAAAAGCAGAAATTATCCTGACCTTACCTTCCCTACTAACCTTCAACCTCCAACCTATCAGCCTACAAACCACCGTTCAGACTTTATCTACACGCAGGTTTAACATTTTATGATAAAGTAAAAAATTCTCAGCTTGTAATCCAATGTCTTTCAAAACCAATTGGCCTTTTTGGCCTTGCGAATGGTAAACGGAGAGAGAGGGAGAGAGTTGCCTAACTCTATCATGTAAAAACTGTTTTTAGAAAATAGCACTGTGTTTTATCCTGGCTTCATGACTCTCTAACGCTCCTTGAAACCGCTTGTTTTCTGACAATTGGTGATACAGAGAGGGTCTGCATTAATGTCCAAGTATGGTCATTTAGGATCAATTTTTGGTGCCCTCGTTTTATATTATTCCATCAGCCTTAGTTTGCCCAACTGACATGCGCTGAATTTGTCGCATGTGACGTTACACCTGACGTGCGCCGAAATTTTAGGTGGAACCCTGGTACTACGCCAAACATAAGTTATAGCATGATCACTGCTCAGTTGCGCAGGTTCACCAGAACAGCTTCATGGGTGCAAAATGACCACCGCAGCGCCCGTAAACCCTAATAAACAAACAAACAAGCAAACATCAGTTGCGCAGTTAATGCCAATTTTTTACAGTTTTGATTGTCTATTGATATTGTTTGGTCTTTTCAGGACTCGTGGCGCTGCTCGCCTCCTCGCCAATGCGAATGCGTTCTCTGAGGACAACTCGCCCAAGGCTACCATGGCGAAGCCACGCCACCGCGCCGGCTATAGACTCACGGCCTGAAGCGAGTTTGGGCGCGACGGCTGGCGAGCCAAGGCGGCGGGAAGTCGTCTGGCGGAGCTCCCGTCTGAGGCGAGCTTGATCTGGTCAGACAGCTCCGCCACCGATGGTGTGCTAGATGGAGGAGGAGGGGCCACCCCCCCCCCCCCCGAACCGCGACATCCGAGAGGTGCGTGTCGCGGCAGGCGCCCTCTGCTCTAGCACGCGCGGCGAGCTATTCGCCCTGCTGATGGAGGGGCGTCCCCCGCCGCCGGTTCGTGGACCCAACAGGCTGGACGCAGTGGAGACCCACCAACTACGAGCAGGACACTGGTCCGGGTCAGCCCAGTACCTGCACAGAATCGGGCGGCACCCATCGCCGGAGTGCGCCCAGTGCAGTGATCGGGGATGCCGGGCAGGATGGTGCCGCGCCTGCGGCGAAGAGGCCGACACCCCGGACCATGTCCTTCTGCGGTGCCCGGCGCTGATGAACGCCCGGCTCCGCATCTTCGGCACCATCTTCCCGAGCCTGAGCGACGTGCGACGAGACGACGCGGTGGCGGCCCTGGCGAGGGTCGCCAGGTACCTCCAGAGCCGTTAAGGCTACAGCTCACCAGAGCCTGGAGGGACAGCACAACAACAACAACAGCTATTCGCCCTAAGAGCGGTGTTGGAGGAGCTGGCCGGACGGATGGTACCGGTCGATATGGGTCGACCGCCGTCTATCCGGTCCATTCTGCTGTTCCAGCTCCAGGACCGGCCGCGCCGTCGCCACCCGTCCGGCGTCAGTGGAGGACCGCTCATCAGCTGTCGATTTTCATCAGTTTCGCTTGGACCACTGGTCGGGCTCCTGCCAGTGCCGACATTGGGTTGGGCGGAGTCCTACCGATGAATGCCGCGAGTGCTGCAACATTGGCTCGGTACATCTCGGTACATTTTCCCGAGTCTGGTGTGGCTACGGGGAGACGGATTTGGTGACCCTGGCTGCCGCCGTGAGAACCATCCAGAACCGTACGGCTATGCTGCGGCAGCAGCTGAAAGGAACGCAACAACAATAACTACAACAGCAGCTGCTAATGAAAGGGGAAATCATGGAGCCGGATGACCCGGCACATGGCGCTCAGCCAGCTGAGAATGAGAGCAGCTATCAAATCGCCAGCAGGGTGCTGCGGCTGGTAACTGACGACCTTAACAGAGAGAGCGCCTCCGCTGATGCGGATGAAACTACCCCCTCTCGGGTTTGTTTGACGCCGTCTCCGTCGACTCTTTCGCCTGGGCCGGCTGGCGACCGCGACATTTCTTGTGCAGTGACTCGTAACTATGTTCACCAAACTTTTAAAACTCCTCACGTTAGCATCTTTAAAGAATGTTTCCCTTGTACACTGCTGCAATGTCTTATGTAGGCATATTGTAGGTACAGTCCAAACGAGTGTGGAATGCTTTGTTGTGCTTGCTTGTTCTGTATTTCGTTTGCTATTTATCACGGTGACTATAATTTATTTTGACCAACCCTTGCCTTGTTGCAATTTTAGTGGATGGTTTCTGAACTGCTGTTTGCATTATAGATGTTGCTAGTGCGTAGACGCCAAAGATTACTTTATACCTATTGACGCGCCAGATAAAGGAGGTGAAGTATTCCTCTGATCTCTACCTACGAAATTCCTTTATGTGTGTTTTGTAATCGATATTGGCGGTTTTCTTATGTGATGCGGTGTAGAGCGTGGCTGAGGAAGGCGATGTTTAAAGTTGCTAGTTATTTTTCAATACATCTATGATCGGACTGTCGTGCTTGCTGTAGGTCGGACTTCCGTTCTTGATGGTGATTGGACGCACGTGCCGGTAGTTCACAACAATGCGGCTTTCGATTATAGTATAGATTTAGATGCTTTTAAAGTGTTTGTATACGTAGTCCTGAGTTTCGAGATATTATCCTTGCGGGCTCCTTGCCAACAGATTGTCCACTTCTGTGTCCAGTACTCATCCCACTCACGAGGCTCAGTTGTGTTTGCCAACCCCTATACGGAAACATTGGCCAGATAACTGACTACTACTGAAATTTTAAGAAGCGTGGGCAGTAGGGCATAACGAACGGTCATCAGGTTCAGTAGCCGCGGAGCACCTTCAATTAAGGGGGGGGGGGGGCACCGCCGACTTTTGGTCCCATTCTTTCCATGCAGCGCCCATAGGGCTAATGTTAAAATGCCAAAATCAAAGGGGGGCACGGTGGCCGGTGCCCCGGTGCCCTCCCCATTCCGCCGCCTATGCTCAGGTTATTTCTGACCTGACAGGCTCAGGGAGGATTGCTCTTTGTTGTTTTTCTCCGATGAACCCTCTTGCTGCACACTGGCTGATCCAAAGGATGGAAGGGACGGGGGGGGGGGGGGGGTGCAGACGTAAGAAAAAAGAAGACAATGTTCTTTCCCTAGCGCACGAAATCAATTCTTAAATGAAAATAAAACGAATAAGCTTCCGTTAAGAAGCCCCCGTTCCGTATCTTCCGTTCCATTCCACGACTCGCACGTTCCAGTGACTTGCTGCAGAAGCGTCATCTATACCTCGCCCTTACTGCCGGGAAGGCCGCGAGTTGCGACATCTATACTATGTCTAGGCCTGAAGTACCTCTTTAGTGTTCATCCGCCACGATGTATTTATTTTTGTCAATCGGTTTGGTCCTTCTGGCCGGATAGGTCGTCAGAATTATCTGAAGGTGCCTGAAATGTCTCGTTAGTGGAAAAAATGTCTCGTTAGTGGAATTCCACTATCTGGCAACTAGCCCTATGTAAACGCGGCTATTGCCAGTTAATGGGGGGGGGGGGGGAGAATTGGGCATCTCAACTAGTTTTTTTATCAAATGGACAGTGATGACACAACATAATTTTTTTCACCGTTCGTTCGAATTCATCAAAACAAAGAAGAAAGAACGTTGAAGCATATAACCATAGTGTAATGAATACTTAACTAGTTATTTATGACACTATGATATAACTATAAAGCTAAGAAGCCAATAAGTTTCATTATTTGCATTTATGCACAGGTGCAATACAACTGCAGCCAAACTTTCATTTCTTTAATTATTGCAGTGGGTCATCGGCCACATACGGTCACAGCTGAGATACAGAATGAAAAACCTGAATGATTTGCACCACTCATGTTCTGATGAGTTTGCCGCTTTGCAATTTTAACAAATTTCATAACATCGTCTGCGGGTAAGACGACTTTCGTTGACCACACGCATTTTTTTTCGTTGCCCCTGCATTTACAGGACGGGGTCCTATAATGCAGGATCCCGTCCCTCACCGCCAACTGGTCACGTGACTGGCCTCGCCCCAGGCCCGGCCGACTGGCCCGGTGCGCCGTAGGCGGCATGGTCATGTCATGCAGATTAAATCGCTCACCACATAGGATGCCACATAGTGACTATGCTCACGGTTTGACGGTGTCTTCGTGGCGGGGTGGTTTAGCGTCGGGCTATAGTTCGGGAAGGTTCGGGTTCGAACCTTATCGGATCTTTCCGTTTTCCACTGACTGTTTGATCTTATATGCACTTTTAATGTCATCGACATTCGTTACCACTCAGTCATCAGTTATTGGCCAATCATATCAAGATTACTTAATTACTCAAGCATGTGTTTGTTTATCGAAATCTTTAAATTCCTTCTTATATAGAAAGATGGGTCTCATTCATCATCCTATAATCATTAGTTTGGTCATTCGACGTCATAACCGGCTTGTGAGTCGTTATTGATGTGACCTCGTCAAAACCGATCTGCAAACTGCGGAAACACCTGTCGTGCTGTGTTGGCCATGCATCTTGCCCTTTTCATTTATACGGCATCGTGAATAGCACAGCCATGAACGCATTCCATATTTACTCAGAAAGAGCCATCAACACGCTCGGTCGCGCAGAGGAACCGCCGCCAGACCCGCGCTGTCCACTAAACAGGGGTCACGGACACCATTTTCATGTTCAGTGTGTCTAAGTTACTTGTAGTTCAGTGTTTAGGAGTGTTTATAATGGCTTTCGTCCAAAAGAGGCGCATTTCATTTTTCTCCCGTTGCCTAATGGAATGGTACTGGAAAGGTCGCAAAATTGACCTGATCTTAGGTCATTGATATCCAAATTCTGATATATACATTTTGTAAATACTATTGCCCTTAGCAAGCAATGAAAGTTTCAAAGCGATCGGTCTCTCGGTGTAGCTATGGCAGATGTTGAAACTTGTTATGAGGTGAGTTCACTTTAACCCTCGCCCTGGCAGGGCATTTTTCATAACACGGCCTGGCAGGGGGGGGGGGGGGGTCGATGCGACCCCCCCCTCGCGATTGGCTCCTATGGCACCTAGAAACACCAAATTTGGTAGGTAGGTGGGCCCCCTGGAGTTCTCGCCCCTGTGCAAATTTGGTTGCCCTAGGTCAATATTTAGGGGGGTTTTGGGGGGTATAAATGTCAAAATTTCGCTAAAAACAGGTCAAAAGTTTTTCGCTTATAACTTTTGATCTATTTAAGATAGAGCAAAAAGAAAAGCACCAGTGAACTCAGCACGCCAAGGCGCGACGAATGATATACTTTTTAGCTTGCTTAAGTGTACTTAAAGTTTTTCTTAATTTTTAAGTAAACTTTAATTAATTAATTAAGTTCAAGTTAACCAAATTGCATCATATTGCATATCATTCGATTCGGCTGATCACAAGGAACACAATGACACCATTTTTTAAGCTCTAGCGTCAATATGTGCCAAGTTATTGGCAAAAACGTGATTTGACCTCAGTTGACCTCATTTGACCTGACCCATGGATAAGTACACCAAAAAAAGAAGCACCAAGTGACCTGCTGTTATGTACTGTGGTTTCAAAGCACAAAAGTGATAGAACGAAGCGGATATCACCAGTATTTTCCGAATTTAGTATTTTCCCATAGGCTTAACATTACGACGTAATGACCTCTAACTGACCTCAGGTCAGTGACCTCAAAAAACCCGAACTATATGTTATACAACTCGGTGAACTTAGCACATCCTGAAAGTTTGAAGGAAATCAGTCAAAAACTGTGAGTTGGACAGGTGCAAAAAGAAAATTGAAATTTGACCATGACCTTGTACCGGTTTTTCTGACCTGGTGACCTGACCCAAGGTCACCCGGACCTGAAATTTTCAGGTCATATGTAAAAAGGTTGCCCCATAGGCTGTGCCAAATTTGGCGGCGCTGCGCGCCGCCGTTTTTACGCTATCTTCGAAAAACCTTAGGGGGGGGTCGCATCGACCCCCCCCCCCCCTGCCAGGGCGAGGGTTAAGTCATCTGGTAGCCAATGAAACGGATTATCGTGCCATAAATGGTGCGCAAGTTTCACTTCCAATGCATTTGTAAACAAGCTTTTTGACGCAGCCATATCGTTAGCTAAGTCCATAACGTTAACGTTTCTTGTAAGCAACGAATGCCGGCGCTTTCGTCGCACATCGTGATTGCCATATCACAAATGTGGTAGGAAAACGAAAGAAAACTTCATTTAAAACCTTTACTTGTGTTAAAGTGATCCGGCAAACCCTTTACGTCCTGAAAATTCTTTACGCTCTGCTTTCGCAAATATAATTGTTTTTTAATCGCGTTGCTGCAAGCAAACAAACATTTTTCTTTTCAACCGGGCACTTTCGTTCAAATAAAACCTAAATGGCATACTATCATCATCAGTATCGTAAATAAGCAAGTAAAATAATTAGCAGAAAGGGAATCCCTTCACAATGCTTAAGAGATCCGGCAAATCCTTTAACGTTCAGGTAGAAAATGGTAAAACCTTTAATAAAACTTTATTCAAAATTGTAAAATCGGGCAGCACAGAACCTAGTTTTTTTACCTTACCGAATCAGTCACAATGGTCAATGGCAATAATGGATCATCTCAATATTGCAATAATGTAGCTAAAAGTAATTAACCATATTGACGAGAAACAATTGTGATGGTCTCTCTCGGGTAGCGAAAAGATGTCGACAAATGTAACTTTGGTGATTGATTTCAGGCTACAGGGACTGAATTGGGAAAAATGGACTAGAAAATGGTGTTGGGGCGGGGTTAGCCTTGTGAAAACCGTTTTGTGTCCCAAAGGTGGCAGTCTACCTGGAGGAAAGTGCCTCGATGTGTTAGGCATATGCAGCGACGCTCGTTGGTGTTGCTATTCCCAAATACGCGCCCATTGGGCACTGCACGACCGATCTGGCCCGGCCTGAACGTCCACTGTCTAAATCACGGAAAATCCAAGACACTGGCGCTCACGCAATTCTATAAGAATGCTTACCATGCAGCGATGTTACGCGTCAAGCGATGCTGAAGCCTGCGCAACCGGCTTAAAATACGACTGCAATAACGATGCTATGATGCTGCAACGAAAAGATGTTTGAGCCTGATCAGCCGATTTGAATGGCGCTGCTCTTCGATGCGACGCAATTTGACATGTAATCTCTCTAAAGAGTTAACGGAGTCACAGACCATGACACGAACTAAAACATGTCACTTTTTGTATCGTCTCTTGTATTTTCCTCTTTGAAATCGGTGAACAAAGCTACTCAATAAAACCGAAATATTTGACTTTGATAATTGGAAAAAAGAGGAACAATCATTTTACATGAAGAAGATTTAAAAAGGCAACACAAACAAAAGCACGAACTAAGGACGCTGTAGTAGGTACGATCTGCCGTGGCATGCCCCAGCTGTCGGTAACATTGCATTTCATGGTACACGTAATCATTGGTCCCTTCTTTCACAATTGGTCCCTTTGTTCAGCACCGCTCCCTACAGCATCGATCACCTGCACCACGGGCCACACCCATAAACAAGTAGTCATTTACCCGCGCTTGACTGGGGTGAGTTTTCTTCGTTTTTCTCAAGCTCTGCTGGCCCAAATAACATCAGAGTGACACCACTGTTGGCCGAATTAACGCAAGGTGAGGTTCGTTGGAAATCACTGTCAATTTTACAGTTTTTTATGTTTTACGTAAAATTAACCTGATTATAAGTTTTTTAAGGATACGCTCCAAGTTCATTATCGAAGTTGGCCAAGAATTTCTTACCGCAAAAATATTCGATTTTTGTGCTCCGCAAAAAATAATTGTGCTCGGTAAGTAACTAGACATTGTGTCTCAAAAATGAACTTCTATGATGACGTCACTGGTGGCAGAAGGCACCCAATGTCCGTACGATGGGACAAATTGTCGGCGAATTTGGGGTAAACTTCGTTTTAGACTGTTGCCGAGGTAATAATCAGAGTAAGCGGTTCCGTCCATGGTAGTCATACGTTACATTGGAATACAAGCTCGACAGTGTGACATCACCACTGTTCTAATACTCAGTTCCTAAACGCACGTATGGAAATTATCGGGAAGAAATCACTTGTTAAAACTAGTCCAAGATTCTTACAGATAAGGTTGGGACGGTATTCTTACTAAGGTTCTTACTAAGGTACAAGATTCTTACTAAGGTTGTGCGATGCATGTTTTATGGCCAATTTTTCATTTCCAACTCAATGGTGTTGGTAATAGGACCATCAGTTACGGTTTAGGTCACTTTCTGGTGGAGGTCAGGTCAAGGTCAGGTCAAAAAAGGTCAAATTTCAAAGTTATAGATATAGATAGATAGAAAGATATAGATAGTTTTGCATTAAATGGGTATTGATTCGATGCAGCTTGTCACGGGGAGTCTAATGGTGGTCCTTGTTCTGCGCTACGAGGTCTAGAATTGATAAAAATTGAGTTTGAAAATTTGACGTCATCAATTTTGAACAGTTTTCTCGCTATAACTTGGCCAAAAAAAGGTATCGATCTCAAATTTGGTATGTGGATAAAAAGCGGTGAGGACTATCACATTTCTTCCGTTTTTTTTTAGTTTTCGGCTATTATATTTAAAAAAAATCTATTTTTCATTTTTGGGGGTCAAAGTCCAAAAATTTCACAAATCGGAGATAGCAGTTTTGTAGCCCTGTTAATTCTACATCTTTTATGTCTGAAACATTTTTCTGTATCTCTAAAGCTGTAGGCCTGTAGTGTCAGCTCTTCCCGCGAAACCTGTTTTTGTGTCGAAAATGGCAGAAATGACGTCACTCCGACGTCATTAGCTAGCGGCCAGCCTATCATAGCCTTTGGAATCATTTTTGGTCACAATGTGCAATAGCTATTCACGGGAGGGTACTGAACGTTTGGTGACGATCGCCGCAGCGGTTCTGGAGATATATAAGAAAACTAAAGGGGGGGGACAAAAAATGCCCCCCACCGCCTGGAGGGTTAAGAAAAACTGACCGTAGATAATTAGATATGGATTAAACAGCAAAATAGCACGGCTCTGTAAGAAAAAAGTTTTAGCCAAAAGATCAGCATTCCTTTAGTTATTTTCATAATAAGGTTTTTTCAAAAGGATGTCGGCAATCAATCAAAATGAGTATGATAAAACTGTTAAGTGGTTGCTAGCAAGGTAAGTGTAAATATGCTCATATACCTAAGAGTATCTCTTCTTCGATATGAATTGTGACGTCATTGGTGACTGGTCAGCATATCAACCGAGCTAGATTTTGATCAGCTATAGACCACTAGTGGATAGGATATATCCACTATAAATCTATCCACTATAGATGTAGTGTATCTACAGTCGATAGGATATATAGTTGTGTGCTCTATGGATCAACAGATTTTCTGGGCGTATGAAACGACACTCTGAGCTTTTGGGTTTTTGAAGTTTGGGAACTGCGCGCACCCTTCGGAGATGAGAATACAAAGGATTGTGCAGACACCTAATTGGATGATGATTCTCCCCTGTCTCGATGGGTGCCATTATTGAAAATACCCCAGTCAAGCGCGGCCTTATATATGTAGGTGATCTCCCTGACCAACAATATGCATTACAAAACAGAAAATTTCATAATCAGCATTTACAGCAAGCACGCATTCTTATCTAGCCCCTACACCTACCACCGACAAAATCAAAAGAACACCAATTTTATAACGTTTGCCAATGGGCATTTCCATTTGGTCCCACTTGTTACAGTATGGAGTATCATGCTCCTTGGTAAAGGAAATCGGTAATGACCTGCCTGAGCCCGTTGCCATGGCTCCACGTCCAATGATAGTGCGCTGGAGTGCGCTGGACCGGACCAGCACACGGGGGGTGGGACCGGGGTCCGCAGCGGCACGCGCCGGGACAGGGGCGGCACGAGGCGGGACAGGGGAGCGCCGGGTGGATGACAGAAAATTTAATGCTAACCATTTTAAGGCTGGAATACAGCTTGGAAATAGCAGTTTCTCATCTCCTCTTGGACTGGTTATATGGCGTATGCCGTTTTTTCATCCCACCTCGCAACGCCTCAAGCCGCGAGTTGGAAGCGAAAAAAATATGCCATGAACTCTAATGAAAAGAGTGAGGAGCGATTTACGCGTTTGAAGGCTGTGTTCCAGCCTTTTGCCTCTATTGAGGTCGAAACTTCAAACGTCGGGAACACAACTCCAAGCAAGCTTGTGCCACCAGACACAAAACTGAGTACGTTTTTACCGAGCCAGTAATCGTTGAGCGAGATTGGTAGCGTTGGTCTGGAGGGGGCGTGGCAGAGGGAGGGGGCGGCGGGAGGGTGGCAGAGGTACTGGCGGCGGCAGCAGTCGGCCGGCCGAGGTGCTGGCGGCGGCAGCAGTCGGCCGGCCGAGGTACTGGCGGCGGCAGCAGTCGGCCGGCCGAGGTACTGGCGGCGGCAGCAGTCGGCCGGCCGAGGTACTGGCGGCGCTCAGGGCGGCGGCAGCAGTCGGCCGGCCTGGCGCTCCACCTCGGCCCAGGCCAGCTCGATGTCGCGCTCCTCGGTGCTGGCCGCGCACACGGCGAACCGCAGGATGTACGTGTCGCGCAGCATGGAGGGCACCATGTGGATCCGGCCGGCGGCGTTGATGGCCTTCAGCAGAGCCTCGTTGGTCTCGTTCGTAGCCTGTCGACGGACGCCGGGTGGCCTGTCAGTCAGCGCTCGCACTGGAAGCGAGCTCCTCCGGTGCACTGATACACTACTGCGGTGCCGTCCAGTTTTGTGAGGGCACAGGCTGCACCCGTAACGGCCGCACTAAGTCCATCTGGACTCAGAAGACGATGGCGTGCTGTGCTGCGGGGCTGCCCGTAACAGTGCACCGGAGTAGCGGTTAGTTAGCACTTTAGGTACTGGAGTAGCGGCTATTGGACACTGCCATGGGCGTAGAAACCTCAAGAAAAGTGGGGGGCCAGCGAAACTTCAATGTCACTTTGTGGGAGCCCCAATATCCCTATGAAGATTTTTTTTTGCAGTTTCGTGCTCATCTCACATTGCTGAATCATTTCCTGCTCTTAGTTTTGTAGTTAAATAAAAAGTAGAGGGTTTTCTTTAAACAATGACTAAAAAGTTGGGGAGTCATGCCTTCCCCCGCCCCCCACCCTGTTCCTATGCTTATGGACACTGTACCGGAGTAGCAGCTGGGGCATTCCACGATAGATCGTACCACTTTTTCCAATTTGACACCCTCATCTCTCGGAATTTGACGAGAATTGTTCTCAGGGGTAATCAGGGGCTCTGAATCCACCTGTAACAATTTCCGGCGTTTTTCCGGGAACACAATTTATTGAGCACATTGAAACACAACAGAATGAAACAAGACACCACATCATTACATCAATTTTTCCATACTCAACACACGCCCCGCTATTACCATTCTCCAGTCCCCCTCCCCACACTACGACCTCGGCACCTCAAAGCGTGCCCCACTACGGGCACCGTGCCGTGCGGCCCGCCCGGCCAAGCCGGGGAGGCGCAACCCCGGGGAGATCTGTAGGTAACCTCCCCGCCGGGGAGACTGTGAGCCACCCCGGCGCCCCAGACGGGCCGCCGGCCCCGCCCGCGCCGCCTCGCGCCCCATGCTGCCATCTCGCGAGGCGGCGCCCCTGTACGCCGACCCGCCCACCAGCCGAGCCGGTTTGGCGGTCCGCGCGGCGGGCCGGCGCGGCGGCCCAACCCCCCAGCATATGATGGGAGGCCAGGCACGGGTTGGCCCGGATGGGTTAGGGGCACCCTCGTCGCACCTGGTGACATGACATACAAACTCTCGGCAGCTCTTCAGCGCCGGCTCGGCTCTGTTCGACCTTTATCGTACATTCTTTTACTATCGACGCCTTTCTGTGAACAAAGTAAAGCACCCATTCTCGTTCAGCATATGGGACCATTTCTTGGAGAATGCCTGCTGTTTATCATTACGTGCCGCTATATTTCTCTCAATCTCAATTTGATGGCAAATGAAATGTATCAGACCTTGCACAGATGGCACCATTGAGTTCTCTCCTAGTTTACACTATACAATGTGCTGCTTAGTGAGAATAATAAGTAAATTTATGGCTGAGCCTTTACTCGTAGCTCCAAATATTACATTATCGACGGTACTTAGGGATCTTTCATTGATTTTATCAAACAGGAAGGGCCATAGTGGCTTAACTTTGTCCAACGGAACAAAAAGTGTTCTATAGTATCTGTACGATCGCAATGTCTGCATGTTGGGGTTTCAATAATATTTCTAATAAACAGATATCTCCTGGTCGGCAGAAATCTATTCAGAACAACAATTTCAGCCTTATCAGATAAGTATTTTTTTGAGTTATGGTGTACCTATAACATTTTTTGGATCTTGCTTTGCAGCGCTAAGTTTGGCGGGCTGTAACTCTAAGACGGATTATTTAAATGCCAAATGTTATATAACATTGAACTTGCAACGAAACAGAGATTGATATGTATTTTTGAAATTTTGAAAAATACGCTTTTTTATATATGACATATCGAGTTTTCTTTCATTTATATTTTTTGGACTTTGGGACCAAATGTTTTTGAATTTTTATCTTAAAAAAAAATATTTGGCTCATTGTTAAGAAGTATGCAAAAAATTAGGAAGGTGTTCTTTAGATAAATGTATTTATTTTACGTCACGATAACGGTTTCGAATAGTGATTTCGGGAGGGGAGCTTACAAATGGCGTGGTAAAACTGCCTAATGACATCACGGGTTGCTGAAAATTCAATTGAAATCTGAGTCATCTGAAAAAAATGACAAGAGGGTTCATCCAATCCTCTTTCCTATAAGCACGAGAGTGAAAAAGGCTATTTGGTTCTGACATTGTTTTGGACGCCAATGACCATAGCTGTCCGAGATGAAAGTTACAGGATGCATACATGGTGTCCTCCAGAGGTCTCACAACTTGTATATCTGGGAATTTTTAAGGTCACATGAGGTTAGGTCGGTCACGTGACATCACTGTTATAACCCTCGCCGGCCGAGGGGGGGGGGGCGGGTGCCGCCCCCCCCCCATAGGGTTTTTTCGCGATAGCTCCGAACACGCTGGCGATAGAGAGCTGAAACTTGGCATACCTGACCTTTGATCCAAGCCGCATCTTTTGACACCAACCGCATTTTTGGGTCAGGTCAGGTCACTGACCTATGATGTCATAAGTGAACCTCTGCACGGTCTTCAGATGTCGCAACTTCGCAACGCCCTCACTGCCAGAGGAGATGTCACAGGGAAATGAAACTTGCAGGATCTAGTATCCATTATGAGTCCCACAACTTGTATATCTCGGATTTTTCCTAAAGGTCATATGAGGTCAGGTCATTTTCGTGACCTCACCATTATAAGTCAATGGGAAAAAATGAAAACTGCTATTCTGGCGCCGGGAACGATCTACAACTATCTCAAACACACAGAATCGTGATTTTATGCACTCCTTGCAAGGTTAGATGCGTCACTTTTGCAATGTTGACCTTGCGTGACGTCATTTATGACGTCATCAAGGTCATATTAGTTTTTCGTCAATAACTCTTGATCAAATTGAGCTAGCGAGTCGGGAAAGCCACCAATGGACTCAGGAAGACCTGCCGAATCGAATGATATGCGACATGACCTCTTTCGACCAACTTCGTGACCTGGGGGTGCTGACCTGACCTTGACCTGAGGTCAACACCCCAAGTTGACCTGACCCGGACAAAAAGTATATCATTCGACGCGCCTGAGCGAGATGAACACGATGCTGCCAAAATCGGCGCTCTGCGGCTGTTTTTTGCGAAGTTATTCACCAAAAACTGAACCGTACCTTGGGGCACTTGACCTGACCTCAGAGGTCACCGGTTGACCTAGGACCTTAAAATCGGATACCAATCTCTGCGTCTCGTAACGGCGCACACGCTCGTTTTTTCCGCGACGCGCTAGCTCCACCAGGGGCGAAACGGCGAGGGGGGGGGTCGTACCCGCCCCACCCCCCCTCGGCCGGCGCGTATGTAGAAAACCAATAGGTCCGGCGAGGGATAAGTCAATGGGGAAATATAAAAGCTGTTATTTTGGCGCCGAGAATGATCTAAAACTATCTCACGTACATGGTATCGTGATTTCATGCACTCCTTGGAAAGTCCAATGCTTCACTTTTGCATTGTTAGCCTTGCGTGACGTCATTTATGACGTCACTGGGGTCGTACGAGTTTTTCCTCAATAACTCCCGATCAAATGATATGCCATATGATACCCTTTGCCCAGCTTCGTGACCTGAGGGGCTCTGACTTGACCTTGACCCAAGGTCAGCTCCTTAAGTTGACCTCACCCTAACAAAAAGTATATTATTCGACGCACCTCAGCTAGGCAAACACAATGATGCCAAAATCGCGGCTCTGCGGCCATTTTTTGCGAAGTTATTTACTAAAAACCGAACCCGTAACTTCAGTCACTTGACCTGACCTCAGACGCTACCGGTTAATCTGAGACCTTAAAATCAGGTACCAATCGCTGCGACTTGTAACGGCACACACGCTCATTTTTTTTCCGCGAGGCTCTAGCTCTATTAGAAGCGAAACGGCGTGCTGGGGTCGTATCAACCCCTCCGAAACCCATTTTCTTTGCGGGAAAATGAGGAACTTATAGAAAGAACACCTTTCTAATTTTTTGCATGTCGATTTGCAATGACATGAAGCTTATTTAAAAAAATAAAAACGTGAAAAATGTTGGTCCCAAAAGTCATTAGAGGCAAATGAAAAAAGCTTAAGGTTTTTGTTCAACAATGAAAATTTTTCTTTGGAATTTTTCAATAGTAATTTTAATTTTTGATTCATCGCAAGCTTAGTGTTGTTTACCGTTTGTTGGTTGCCTAACCCGTTCTTGAGTTATAGGCCATCAAACTCACCGTTACAAACCGAAATTAAAAAATGTAATGCAATATAACTCAAAAAGTTTTGATCTGATAAGTCTGATATGTTGCCAGGCTCTTTGGGGCCTATGATTACCCCTAGTACCGATTTTCATTAAAATCTGAGAGAGGAGGGTGACGGGCTTGGTACGATCTATCGTGGAATGCCCCAGCTATTGGACGCTGTACCGGAGTGGCGGTTAGTTAACACTGTACCGGTGCAGCGGCTAGTTAACACTGTACCGGAGTGGCGGTTAGTTAACACTGTACCGGAGTGGCGGTTAGTTAACACTACCGGAGTGGCGGTTGGTTAACACTATACAGGAGTGGCGGTGTTGTAACACTGTACAGGAGTGGCGGTGTTGTAACACTGTACCGGAGTGGCGGTTAGTTAACACTGTACCGGAGTGGCGGTTAGTTAACACTGTACCGGAGTGGCGGCTAGTTAACACTGTACCGGAGTGGCGGTGTTGTAACACTGTACAGGAGTGGCGGTATTGTAACACTGTACCGGAGTGGCGGTGTTGTAACACTGTACAGGAGTGGCGGTGTTGTAACACTGTACCGGAGTGGCGGTTATTTAACACTGTACCGGAGTGGCGGCTAGTTAACACTGTACCGGAGTGGCGGTGTTGTAACACTGTACAGGAGTGGCGGTATTGTAACACTGTACCGGAGTGGCGGTGTTGTAACACTGTACAGGAGTGGCGGTGTTGTAACACTGTACCGGAGTGGCGGTTAGTTAACACTGTACCGGAGTGGCGGCTGGTTAACACTGTACCGGAGTGGCGGTTAGTTAAAACTGTACCGGAGTGGCGGTTAGTTAACACTTAACACTGTACCAGAGTAGCGGTTAGTTAACACCGTACCGGAGTGGCGGTTAGTTAACAATGTACCGGAGTGGCGGTTAGTTAACACTGTACCGGAGTGGCGGTGTTGTAACACTGTACCGGAGTGGCGATGTTGTAACACTGTACCAAAGTGGCGGTTAGGTAACACTGTACAAGAGTGGCGGTATTGTAACACTGTACCGGAGTGGCGGTGTTGTAACACTGTACAGGAGTGGCGGTTAGTTAACACTGTACCGGAGTGGCGGTTAGTTAACACTGTACCGGAGTGGCGGCTGGTTAACACTGTACCGGAGTGGCGGTTAGTTAAAACTGTACCGGAGTGGCGGTTAGTTAACACTTAACACTGTACCAGAGTAGCGGTTAGTTAACACCGTACCGGAGTGGCGGTTAGTTAACAATGTACCGGAGTGGCGGTTAGTTAACACTGTACCGGAGTGGCGGTGTTGTAACACTGTACCGGAGTGGCGGTGTTGTAACACTGTACCAAAGTGGCGGTTAGGTAACACTGTACAAGAGTGGCGGTTAGTTAACACTGTACAGGAGTGGCGGTTAGTTAACACTGTATCGGAGTGGCGGTGTTGTAACACTGTACAGGAGTGGCGGTGTTGTAACACTGTACAGGAGTGGCGGTTAGTTAACACTGTACCGGAGTGGCGGTGTTGTAACACTGTACAGGAGTGGCGGTGTTGTAACACTGTACAGGACTGGCGGTTAGTTAAAACTGTACCGGAGTGGCGGTTAGTTAACACTGTACCGGAGTGGCGGTTAGTTAACACCGTACCGGAGTGGCGGTTAGTTAACAATGTACAGGAGTCAGGCGTTTAGTTAAAACTGTACCGGAGTGGCGGTTAGTTAACACTGTACCGGAGTGGCGGTTAGTTAACACTGTACAGGAGTGGCGGTTAGTTAACACTGTACCGGAGTGGCAGTTGGTTAACACTGTACCGGAGTGGCGGTTAGTTAACACTGTACAGGAGTGGCGGTTGGTTAACACTGTACCGGAGTGGCGGTTAGTTAACACTGTACCGGAGTGGCAGTTGGTTAACACTGTACAAGAGTGGCGGTTAGTTAACACTGTACAGGAGTGGCGGTTAGTTAACACTGTATCGGAGTGGCGGTGTTGTAACACTGTACAGGAGTGGCGGTGTTGTAACACTGTACAGGAGTGGCGGTTAGTTAACACTGTACAGGAGTGGCGGTTAGTTATCACTGTACCAGAGTGGCGGTTAGTTAACACTGTACCGGAGTGGCGGTTGGTTAACACTGTACAGGAGTGGCGGTGTTGTAACACTGTACAGGAGTGGCGGTTAGTTAACACTGTACAGGAGTGGCGGTTAGTTAACACTGTACCGGAGTGGCGGCTGGTTAACACTGTACAGGAGTGGCGGTTGGTTAACACTGTACCGGAGTGGCGGTTAGTTAACACTGTACAGGAGTGGCGGTTAGTTAACACTGTACCGGAGTGGCGGTTAGTTAACACTGAACAGGAGTGGCGGTTAGTTAACACTGTACCGGAGTCGCGGTTCGTTATATGTATCGCTGAGACGAGGGCTATGTGGTGGCCACTGACCTGGAGTCGGAAGCAGACGAGGCCCAGTGTGACGGGCGTCACTATTTGGAAGCGCGGGTCGGCGCGCACGCGCTGTTCAAACAGCTGCGCCAGCTGCACGTGGCGCCGAATGTGCGCACGCACTCCGGCCAGTCCGTACAGGCGCAGCACGAACCACAGCTTCAGAGAGCGGAACCGGCGTCCCAGTGGAATCTGCCAGTGCTGCCAGCACGCACACACGGGTAGGCGATTTCAGCGGCGGGTCAGAGACGGCCAAGTAAGATCCCATTTGCTTCTCACTGGCTAGAACATTTATATTTGCTATAGGATCAAATAAGTATTTTAGTGAAAAATATGTTCAATTTCAACACACACAGATATAGTAGGATGTTTCTTTGATACAGCTTACCCTAGAATATTGAAAAGAGACAACTATGCAAGGTCTTCGAACTTTGGTCCATATACGAGAATACACATAACTGTGTGGCCGAAAATCCCTCCCCCCCTACCCGGGCGGAGGTTAAACACAAAATGTCAAATTGGTGCATCCGAAGGTGCTGATCGTTTCGTGTTGATACGTTGAGCGGTTTTGAAGATATCGCCGACAAATAGGATGGGTCTCTGGGCCGCACTCCCCAGTCATGCACCGATTCACCCACACCCCGCCGGGGGGAGAAAACTGCCCCCCATCCCGTTTTTCGCCAATATTTTCTAGCCGCGTTAAGCCAGCGAACTCAAACTGACCCCTACGGCCCGCTGGGGTCCTGAATTTCCACGCCCTGCTGGGGGTGTTTGAACACTCCCCCCCCCCCCTCCTCCTGATCCGGCGCCTGGGCCACATAGCGACACGTGGTAAGAGGGATTCGAAATAACGTCCAAAATAAGGACAAAAAAACAAACAAACGGTTAGCTCAACAGTCAGGTCACCAGAGTTAATCCAATGTCAAACTTCGCCTATTTTGACAATTTCGACAAAGCAACGTATAGCTCAAGAACGAACAGATTGAGTTAGAGCACCGCAAAAAAGCGCATTTGATAGCTCCGTAAACGCTCTTTCTGTAGACCGTTATCAGATTTGACCTCAGGTCAGCGAATTAGCCTCTAGGGGGGGGGGGGAACTGTAAAAAACACGTTTTCGTGGAAATATTATTTCTGCCACACCTCTTGACTCAAAAATCAAACGACATTTATTTTACCGGTATCGTGTACAGGTCTCGCGGGTTTTAGCGGTAGGGTTTGCACCTAGAAAATTTAGTGTACTTCAGGCTATATCTTCGTCGTCTTAAGCTTTTAAGTGTTGAAGATGCGATCGACTTGTTGGGTAACAAGCCGGCCATGATCGTGTAAAATGGCTTCATCGTAGATCGATTAGTTTCTGAGATATAACCGGAAATGTAAAAGTGCAAAACCTACCGCTTAATCTCGCGAGACCTGTACGTCTCGTCGAGACGCGTCCAATGAACTATAAGTTGACCTAAAAGAAATTTTGTCCGAATAGTTGAATGGGTGGATATGGGTCGGATGCCCCGCTAAGCAGTGCGAATGACACCACGGACCCACCTTGCCAGCGCCCGCGTTTCACCGGCGACAATTTGGATGGAAAGTTTAACGTACCGCAGGTAGATGGCGGCACGGTCCTTCCGGGTCTAGCATGGCCCTCTCTCGCCAGTTGCCAGCTAGCTTAATGTAGAAACGAGGCTCAAACGACATGGAGGTTCCCGGCCGCGAACTCGCTGTCACCGAGTTGGGAGCCGGACATCTTATACACTAGGCCACGGGGAGGACAATTTTAACCCTCGCATGTGTAGGGGGGGGGGGGTCGGATGGACCCCCCCATGGTTTTTCGCGAATAACTCGCGTAAAAAGCGGCCGATCGCGACGAAACTTTCAGTACCCTCGCATTGATCAATTTTACACCTACCCTGAAAATTTCATGACCCTGACCCAAATGACCTTTGACCTGTGACCTCTTTTCCGAGACCATGTTTGGCCGGAATCGCGATTTCGCGTATGTCGGCTCGCACTAGCCGCGTGTTTGCAAGCTTTTCGTGGTTTCAAACGTTCAAACATGTGATTTGATGTTACTCCAGTGTGTGTCAAGGTCACCTGAAGGTCAGGTCAGGTCATTGACCTTTGGTGACCTCGGGTGACCTCGGTTCACTTTTTCGAGTTTTACATGTTTCTAGGCTAGTTTTTGGAGCTGACTTCGAATTTAGCAACCATTTGAACATTTACGAAGTAGTTTTGGTGACTTCGTAACATGTTACGAAGCTGTCAGAGGCGGTTGACACGTACTACGAATACCCGTCACGACGCCTACTGGTTGACCTGACCTGACCTGACCCGACCTGGTCTAAATGCCTCAAGACATCATCTGTGATCAAAACTAACACGATATTCGTGATCAGCACCCCGAAAAACCCCTTAGCAGCCACACTTTACGACTTTCTAACAGGTCCCGATTTTCCCGACTTTGGGTCATTGACCTGACCTGGAAGGTCACCCAATGACCTAGGACCTTAAAATTGGGTATCATCGGCTTCCTCTCGTCACGGGCAACACGCTCGTTTTTTCCGCGAAGCTCTAGCTCGATCAGGGGCCAAACGGCAAGGGGGAGTCCAACCGACCCCCCCCCCCTACACATTAGAAGCTGGCAAACGCCGCACACATGCGAGGGTTAAGAGGACACCTTTAAAATTCAGCTTGACAAGGTGACCCAAGGTCAAGGTGAGGTCTTGGCAGAGCTTACCCTGTAATCGGGCACCAGGCCCTGTTTGTCGTGCTTCAGGTAGAGCGGGTCCACGTTAAAAGCGTCCACTAGGTCGTTCGCCCGTTTCACCCACATTGCCGAACAGTCAAAGTTGATCAGCATCCACTGTACAGGTGACACAGCACACCCAGTCAACCCAGCTCATCTGCAGCCTAAAGCTGCTTTTGGCGAGGCGGTTTGGCGGTTTGTTCTACATATAACCACCATCGAGGCTGTCACGTGAATTGGGACCGCTTCTGAAGCTAATCCAAGAAATGCAACACTCTAAATTCTGAAATCATCAATCTAGCCTGTCTTCAATTGTCTTGTAAAAAGTCACAGCGATTGCATTGAGCATTAAATGACAAAAACATTCCCCTCCCCCTCTTCGCCTCAGGCGATCACGCGCGTCACCCACCTGACCCAGCTTGAATTGAAGGCAAATAATTGCGATGCGAGGTGTAGCATGCGTGTGTGCTTGTGTTTGGACGGGGGGAGGGGGGTTGATGCATTTGGGACTGGGCAAGGATAGAGCTACCGATTCGCCGGCCGAGCTGTGACACCGCGGGCTCGGACGGCCGGAGTCCGGCGCCGGCGGCGGCACAACCAGCTGGGTATAACGGCGGGCCGCCGCCTGCCAGCTGGTATAACGGCGGGCCGCCGCCTGCCAGCTGGTATAACGGCGGGCCGCCGCCTGCCAGCTGGTATAACGGCGGGCCGCCGCCTGCCAGCTGGTATAACGGCGGGCCGCCGCCTGCCAGCTGGTATAACGGCGGGCCGCCGCCTGCCAGCTGGGTATAACGGCGGGCCGCCGCCTGCCAGCTGGGTATAACGGCGGGCCGCCGCCTGCCAGCTGGGTATAACGGCGGGCCGCCGCCTGCCAGCTGGTATAACGGCGGGCCGCCGCCTGCCAGCTGGTATAACGGCGGGCCGCCGCCTGCCAGCTGGGTATAACGGCGGGCCGCCGCCTGCCAGCTGGGTATAACGGCGGGCCGCCGCCTGCCAGCTGGTATAACGGCGGGCCGCCGCCTGCCAGCTGGTATAACGGCGGGCCGCCGCCTGCCAGCTGGGTATAACGGCGGGCCGCCGCCTGCCAACATGTGTATCAGTTCTTTATAAATAAACGTAGATTGCGCGTAATCGATCCACTGCACAAATAAATGCACGAACAAAGATTGGTATGTGCGACAAATAAATGTCGACTGAGATTTGTCCGGATACCCACTTGTTCTAGGAAACACCGCCGTTTCTGGCCGTTTGCATACACATGTCCCTTGATCTTGATCCGAAAATTATGTTTTCCGCTGTCAAAAGCGGGCCATGAGGTTGATATAGATGTTCTGCCTGACAGGATGAAAGGAATCCAAAAAGTCCGCAAATAGGCTGGGTAAATGCGAGGGGATATAGGTGCTGTGTATTGCAATTCTGGTGCCAATACAGCAATCACTTCGACTAGATAACCTGGCAACGCAAGGCTTCTTGTCAGCATTTTAGTGCCATATTCACTTATTAGGCTTCAGTAAGGTTTTTGGTGCTATACAGCAATTAGGTGCTAGAAACTATTATTTAGGGATACGAAACAAATATACCCAAAAATAATATCGCGCTTAACAGAAGAGACGTTTAAGAACCCTGGCGGAAATCCGTGGGCAATGGATTCAGAAGACATCTTTCTTGTGAGTCACAACTGTTACTGCTTTATCAGGATATTATGTCATCCATTGACAAGAAAAAGAGTGTTGATTTGGCATTCATTGACTTCAGTAAGGCGTTTGATAGGGTTCCACATAAACATCTCTTAACTAAACTAAAAATGTATAATTTAGATAATAACGTTATTGGCTGGATTGAAGCCTTCTTATGTAATAGAACGCAGAGAGTTCTGGTTAATAATTGTTATTCTGATGTGATTAGAGTTACGTCCGGTGTCCCACAAGGGAGTGTATTGGGTCCAATATTATTTCTTTTATATATTAACGATCTTCCGGATATGATTAATTGTCAGATAAAATTATATGCAGATGATGTTGTTCTTTACACAGACATCTTAAGCAATGAAGAATGTAGTTTTTCGTTACAGGCAACTATAAATAGATTATCTCAATGGTGTTCCAAATGGAAAATGTCTATTAATGTTGGAAAGTGTGCTATCATGAGAATGACAAAGCAAAAACTTGCTGCAATGCCTAGATACTATTTGAATGGAATAGAAGTTCAGGTTGTCAATGAGTTCAAATATTTAGGCGTGCATATTTCGAATAAATGTACCTGGCAAAATCATGTACAACATGTCACTGGTAAAGCGAATCAGATGCTACGATTTATTAAGCGAAATTTCAAGGATTGCCCACAAGCTGTAAAGGAAATCATGTATTTGTCCCTTGTTAGGCCACATCTAGACTATGCCAGCTCTGTTTGGGACCCATGGGGAGAGGGTATGAAGCATGAGCTGGAAATGGTTCAAAGGCGCGCTGCTAGATTTATACTTAATGACTACGACCGACATAGCAGTGTTACTGACATGCTGGCCACAATAGGATGGGTATCCCTAGAAAGCCGACGTAGAGAGGCGAGATTATGCTTACTGTACAAATTACACCATGGCAACATGAAAGTAGATGTTAGTAGAATTATATGTGAACCTAGCTATATATCACGGAGTGATCACCCTAAAAAGATAGAGAGACTTCCGTCGAGATTACTTCAGTACCATAACTCGTTTTTCCCAAAAACCATAAGAGAGTGGAACCAACTTTTGCCCAGCATGATGGAAGCCGAATCTGTGGAAGATTTTCGGAAAAACGTTCAAACACATGTAAATTCGGCGTAAACGTGATTGTAATTGAAATTGCTCATGAGTAATGCAGAATGAATCAATCTAAAATCAGTAGTAATGTGAGTAGGTATGTACTTGTGTGTATGTACTTGTGTGTATGTGCGATACTGATGTGTGCATGATGTGTGAACCAGATTTAACATCACCAGGGCCAACCGGCATTCGTGATTGTTGTAATACATGATACATGATACATGATACATGTCCGGATGATGCATCAGCTGGAAGTGTCACGTGCGGTACCTATTTGACGCTACCAGGGCTGCGGAGTCGGTGTCGGAGTCGGTAGGAGTCGACAGTTCTGACTGAAGTCGGAGTCGGAGTCGCCAAAATCTTACCGACTCCGACTCCGGAGTCGGAGAACACTGCATGGTCCAAAGGCTACACGTCCTACACGTGTTTGTTTGAGATCACGCCCGCTGACTTTTCCACACCATATTTTGTCGAAACTAAGTCCATGTTCATGTTTTGGACGAGCGTTGTCAGCAAAAAAGCAGAAGGCTGCGGCTGCGAGAGAATCTGCTTTAAGTTCTGCATGCTATTTAAAAGGTATACTCGCATTGGCAATGCAAGGCCTTGAAAAGAATGGTTTCGGGCAAAATAAAATGATCTCCTATATGAGCTTAACAAACATAATAGGTATGGACCAACGGAGTAACATCCTGAGTCGAAGCTGGAGTCGGAGTCGGAGTCGGAGTTGATTTTTCAAGCCAGAGTTGGAGTCGGAGTCGGAATTGTCGACTCCGCAGCCATGGACGCTGTTTGCAAACACAGCTATGACACGACGTGCCCATGACACAATTGCGCCCAGTGAGTGTTGTCTGCGGTCCGTTGCCACCGACTGGCCTGTGCCGCCGGGCTGTTCGGTCCCGCCCCCGCTGACCACTGGCAGCATACCTTATGGGGGTTGAAGTTGAATGAGTGCGCCAGCTCCACGCCGTCCAGCAGGTGCCGGAACTCGGGGCAGAGGAACGCCGAGCCCGCGTACGCCGCGTCCACGTGCAGCCACAGCTGCTGGCGCTCGCAGACGGCCCCCAGCTCCGGCAGCGCGTCGAACGCGCAGCTGGGCGTGGTGCCCAGTGTGGCAAGCATCTGCCGGCACCAGCAGGTCAGCATCTGCCGGCACCAGCAGGTTGGCAGCTGCCGGCACCAGCAGGTTGGCAGCTGCCGGCACCAGCAGGTCGGCAGCTGCCGGCACCAGCAGGTCGGCAGCTGCCGGCACCAGCAGGTTGGCAGCTGCCGGCACCAGCAGGTTGGCAGCTGCCGGCACCAGCAGGTCGGCAGCTGCCGGCACCAGCCGGTCAGCAGCTCTGCGACTGGAGATTGGCTCACCGCAGGGGAACATGGCAGCATTGAGCAGAGGGTTGTTCCTGCACAGGATTAACTCAAAATGAACCCTGGCCTAAATAATACGCACCCTCTAAAGCGCTGGCAAAATTTTTGAAAACGTCCCATTTAAGGCACTCGCCATTTCGAGCACTGGACACATAGTACCCTGGACATTATGAGCCCTGGCCTAAATATACGCAACCATTCAAGGCACTGGCCATTTCGAGCACTGGACACATTGTGCCCTGGACATAATGAACCATGGCCTTATTAATATGCACCTGGCCTGTTTTCGACAATATGAGCACTGGCCTCTTTGAATATACCATATCTGCAGCCAGTTGGCCACATTTGAACCATGTATGTAGTCTCCGGACAATGGACATTATGAACTCTGGCCCATTCAAGGCACTGGCCATTTCGACACTGGGCACAGTAGTAGTAGTAGTAGGGGAGAGCGGGGTCAAATGTAACACGGGGCAATTGTAACAGTGTTAGTAATTCATAAACTTACCAATAGAATGAGCTGATGTTAAGACCGAAAATGCGTAATTCTATACTGCCTTTCCCAGCGGAGTTTGAAGCGAAAGTGTCGGGTATGTCGATGGCTGTGCACAGTAATGTGTTTTTGAGAGCATTTCGTAAATTTTTGTACCGTTATATTTGATAAGCTCATTCCCGCCATTGAAAAGATATCGACTTCAGACTTTGTGTAAGCGTTGGCAGGCTTGTTGTCCATAAATTGAAAGCATTAACTGCTGTTCACACATCTTTTTGCGCCAGTTTCGTCTAAAATATGTCATGGCGCGACGGGGAAAGTTGTAACATTTTTGCAGGGGTCAAATGTCACTGGCTATAGGTCAGTGGCCATTATGTCAAAGTCGTCAAATTGTCAAGTGAGATTAAACATTGCTAGAATTAAGAGAACTATAAGTTTTGTCACAATCGGCAGCTTTTTGCACGATTTATTTGCGAAAAACCGAGGGAGAGGAGGTCCATCCGACCCCTGCATAAGTGCGAGGTTTTAAGCCCTTTTTCCTGAGAAGAATCGTAGGGGAGAGTGGGGCAAAGCGGCCACCCGGGGCAAAGCGGCCACCCATCGTTTTAGCCCTTCATAGCTGGCGTCAGTTCCAATTTATGGTTTCCAATTATACTTCTCTTCACGGTCGTTCGAATGAGCCAGACCGGGGTTTCAGGCCCATCACCATTGTTCTGTGAAACACGGAAACGCATTTCTTGCCAGGTTACCAACTATGTTTACAATTTTTAAATGTTATGTTATTCCATAACCGTTTGTAATTTTTATAAGCGGTCTTGTCCATGCATTGCATGGTTATCGTACATGTATTCTACCAATTTTTATGTCTTTTACCCCACTAAAAGCTAAGCTGGAATATTTTTGTCTCGGACGGTATGCGCGGGGCAAAGTGGCCGGGGCAAAGTGGCCACCCCCCAATTGGCCATAAGTTGCTTCCATCTGGATAAAAAACATTATTTATATTCAAATGTGTCGTCATGCATTCATCTTGGCCACTTTTCAGTTGCATGAGTTACCAAATAATGCAATTAAATGTTTATTTTCATGAAAATCCTTTCTTTGTTTACCTACAGGTGGAAGATGATAAAGTAAACATCCATCCTCGCTTAACCTTGTCACCATCAAATACCCTACTCGTACACGAGGCAACTATTTTGTTTCTCATATCGGGACTTGAGAAGACGCCGGTGGCCGCTTTGCCCCAGGGTATGGGGCAAAGTGGCCAATATGCATAGGTTTAAAGTTTTGTCAATATCTTTCATATGTGAACGCCTTTGGAAATAAGACGCAGTTGAAATAAAAGGCAACTTAATAGGGATCGCATTGGTATAGAAAGAATCTTTCCAAGTTTAAAAATCAAGCGTTGGCATCGTGAGAAGCATTAGGGTGGCCGCTTTGCCCCACTCTCCCCTACCTACCAAATGTGGGAAGATGAACAAGTGTTCAATACTTTCGTTAAATCAAAGTTTTGGAAAAAATTGAGTTGCTGTAGCCTGTAAGTTAACATGTTACAATTGTCCCCGGGTGGTGTTACTTTTGACCCCATATCTGGGGTGAATTGTAACAGCTGAATAGACTTTTTCGGACAACAATTTTGACCCGAAAAAGAAACTATTTCGGAAATATTTTAACTACATTTTAAAGACAAAACATCACAGTTCTGAAAATAAAAGAAAGAGCTTTTTATAACTGCAAACGTGTTTGCACCAGATGATAAAATGCAAAAAATGTTACAATTGACCCCGTTCTCCCCTAGTCACTGGCGGATCCAGACCTGCGTTGAGGGGGGGGAGCAACTCATGCCAGGAACCAAACCTAAGGTACCCCCAAATCCTGTTTTCTCATCGGATTTAGGCTACTTATTTTTCCTCACAGCCCAGAAACGATACTTTTTAATTAAAAAAATATATAGTGTTAGGAATATTGAAGACGCCAGTGTTGAAGGCGCACGTGATATTGATAACGTGTTGCTGATAATTGATCTTGAGTCGACGATGTGATTTATAATTGTGTGGCAGTCAGGCGGTGCATGGCCTTGGGCGGTGCGCTTGACCACGAATGGTAAGCTGGAGTGTAGAATACAAGGACGTGTGCACGATTTCTAACACTGGCGCGGTCGCATGCTCAGGTTCCTACGTGCCGCTAAATTAACGACATTTCTTTGCTTTAATTTTTCATAAAAGCATAACGATGTTAATCATCCGTTATCTTAAGCATCTTTTAGAGCTTAATTTTGAGTCCCGAGCACATGAATAAATCGACCGACGAGTCATGGTGACTTCCGACATCGGCTTCGGTGTTGATACGGCCGCAGCCCTCAAGTCTCTGGAACAACGCATGGACGATATCCAACAAACACTGCGGCAACTGCGCAGACACCTGTGCACCGACGGTTTGAAGCGGCAGTTCGCCGGGCCCACTGGAGATGATGGCACCGGCAGCAGAAACACTACGTCTGCGCCAGGAAACGGCCAGCCTCGGTGTTTCGTCTGTGGTGATCTGGGCCACATCCGACGTTTCTGCCCCAAACGGCGCGGCCACATCGAGAATCGGCAGTGTTTCGCATATGGGAGAAAAGGACATCTGTTCCGAGAGTGTCCCCACACTGGTAGCTCGCAGGGGCCCTTCTGTCTGCGCTGTAGACGTGATGGCCATTGGTTGTCCGACTGCAGTCTGCACGGCCCGGTCACGATGGGCGGTGTGCCCGCGTGCCCCGGTGCTGGACAGACCCCGAACCAGGGAAACTAAGGGCAGCTGGTATTAAGGGACAAATGCCAGCCGTGCTTGTACCAGGGTCCCACATCGTAGCATCTGTTGTGGAAATAGAACTTGGAGGTAGGCGGGTGTGGGCCCTGGTGGACACCGGGACTGAGTTATCGATGGCAGGTGGCAACGGAGGCCCGCGGTCGTCGGGGGACGAGGTCTGTCACGATGAGCCCGCCGTTTTGGCCCCAGCTCTCGGCCACGGGTTCGGATCTGGCGCGGCGAGACGGCTGGAGGCCGAGAGTTCTCAGGTTTGTCGTCTTCCCTCGGTGGTTTTGGCGTTTGTGGTGCATCTGCTGACTTCCGTGCTGTCCTTGTTCTCGGGGGTGTTTAGAGGACGAAAGTCAGCGCCCACCCTGGGTGGGTCAGCTTCCGGCTCGTACATACGTGGGTAAGGTTACATGCCAGGGGTCTGACCCGGTGCAGGGCGGTGCGCCTACACCGGAGAGCACTGATAGGGTCGCTTCTTTTCGAGCTGGAAGTGGGGAGTCTGCCAACAGGGGAGGGACGGCTCTGATCGTAAGTGGCAGCGTGGGCGTGGAGAGCCGCGGCCGGCTCAGTGTGGTGGAGCCTCACCCGGTGAAGGGCGGTGCTCGCCCACGATCAGACGTTTGGACAGCGATGCTCACCTTAGGGTTGGAGAACCTAGCCTGGGGCTGCGGTGGCGTCAGCGCTCGGGCCGAGGACGGCCTGTGTGTCGGGAATAAACAGTCTGGAACCGACTGAGCGTCTGTGTACTTCAGTGGCGACGAGGACCGAACTCACGTGTGGTATGGCGCTGGCCCGGGCGCCCGAGTTCGACGCGGGTGTTGAGTGTTTCGGTGGTTATACTCGGAGGCTGGAACAGTATTTTGTGGCGAACGATGTTGACGCGTCACAACACGTGAAACGCCGCGCGATTTTCCTGAGTGCTATCGGGCCGGTGACGTTTGCGCTGTTGGAGGATTTGATCGCTCCGGCCTCAGTGACAGACGAGAAGTATGGAGACCTGGTAAAGGTGCTGTCGGAGCATTTTGAGCCGTCGCCGTCTCGGATCTTGGCACGTTACCGGTTTCATACGTGTGATCGCGAGGACGGTGCGTCAGTCTCAGCTTATGCTGCGACTCTGAGGCGACTGGCGCGGCCATGTCAGTTCAGCGCGGAGGTGCTCGACGAAATGCTCCGAGATCGGCTGGTCTGTGGAATCCGGAATCCCAGACTTCAGTCCAGACTGCTCAGCACGGAGGATCTCACTCTCAGCTCTGCGCTCGCGATCGCTCAGGCGTTCGAATCGGCGGCTGCCAACGCCAGTGAGCTGAATCGCAGCAGTCCCGTGTCATCAGAGCGAGCGGATCTGCAGCCCGTCCATCGGGTGGAGGAGCGCCGACCGCGGCAGAGTCCGTCCCGAGTGGCGGCGACGGGTGGCGCTCGAGCTCAGTGTCACCGCTGCCGGCAGAGAGGACACGAGCCGGCCGTGTGTCCGTTTCGCTTCCGGCGCTGTTTTTCTTGCGGGGAGGTGGGTCACTTGCGAGTGGCCTGCCGACGGCGCACGCCGGCGGTCCGGGCGGTTCAAGTGGAGTCGGCAGAGCATTCCACAGCTTCCGGTGCAGCTGCGGCGGAGCCGAGGAGCCCGGAGAGAGTGGAGGAGGATGTGTATGCTCTGTTCGGAGTCTACAGTGCCGGTGTCTCGCCGCTCTCGGAGGCCGCGGCCGCTCGCTCGGAGGACACAGTCGAGCGGTGTGCAGCTGGTGGCGGCGTGAGTGTGGGCGCTGCTACGGTTGCTGCGAGTGAACCCCACGGGGGTGGCTCCGATGAGCCTATGGTCGGCGCTCTTGCTTCTGGCGCGGCGGCGGCGGCAGCTGGCAGTGGCGCGGGGCGCTCGGCTGATCGTGAGTCTGCCGGCGGGCCCGGCGGCGGCGTGCATCGCACGGAGGGAGCTGAGGGAGTGGCACCGAGGCGGCCTCAGCGCTGCGGGCCGTACATCGTTCCGGTGCGGCTGAACGGCAAGTTGCTGGAGATGGAGCTCGACACGGGAGCTGCCGTCTCCGTCTGCTCGGAGCGTGCGTTCAAGAGGCTCTGGCCGACCGGCGGTCCGCCCATGGAGCGCTGTGAGCAGACTCTGAAAACATATAGCGGTGGAACGATCGGTGTGTGCGGTCAGGTGATGGTCGATGTGCAGTATGGTGACACATCGGTCCGTGTGCCGCTCGTGATCGTTCGCGGTGGCGGTCCGTGCCTGTTCGGGCGTGATTGGCTCGCTCGCATTCGGCTGGACTGGTCGTCAGTGTGCGTCATGACGGCCAGCTCGCGGGTGGACGCGGTGCTGGCTGAGTTCCCAGACGTGTTCGACGGGGAGCTGGGATGCTTCAGAGGTGAGCCGGTCACGGTGGATGTCGATCCAGACGTCCAACCCCGGTTTTTCAAACCGCGCGTCGTCCCGTTGGCGTATCGGGATCAAGTGGAGCAGGAGCTGGATCGGCAAGTGAAACAAGGACTCTGGGAACCCGTCGCACATAGTAAGTGGGCTGCACCGCTCGTGGTGGTGCCTAAGGCTGGGGGAAAGGGTGTGAGGTTGTGTGGCGACTACCGCTTGACGGTGAATAAGGCGGCTAGGGCAGATCAATACCCCCTCCCTCGCGTCGAGGATTTAATGTCGCGACTGACCGGGGGGACAGTGTTCTCGAAATGTGACCTTAAGTCAGCGTACAATCAGCTGGTGTTGGAGAAAGAGTCGCGTCAGTATCTCACTCTGAACACGCCCCGCGGCTTGCTGCGGCCGACCAGGCTCAGTTTTGGGTACTCGGCAGCGCCGAGTTTGTTCCAGCGGACGATAGAGACGCTGTTGGCTGGCATCGAGGGCGTGGGAGTCTTTTTAGATGATGTGATCATCACCGGCCGTGACATGGAGGCGCATAACCGTGCCCTCCGGGAGGTTCTGCGGCGGTTCAGTGACGCTGGCCTCCGAGTGAACCGGGACAAATGCAGTTTCGGCGTGCCCAGTGTCGAGTATCTGGGGTTCAGGATCAGCGCGCGCGGTGTCGAGACGACTGAGGAGAAGGTATCTGCCATCCGTAACGCGCCGGAGCCGCAGAACGTCTCGCGGTTGAGATCGTGGCTCGGTCTGATCAACTATTATGCAAAGTTCATACCGAACTTGGCGTCCGTGCTCTCACCCCTGTACCGCTTACTGCGACGTGATGCACCGTGGGTGTGGTCTGAGACAGAGATGCGTGCTTTTCAGACAGCAAAAGAATTGCTGCTGAAACCCGCAGTACTGGCTCATTTTGACTCGTCCCTCCCCGTGGTCCTGACGTGCGACGCCAGCCCCGTGGGAATTGGGTGCATTCTGAGCCAGGTACACGGTGACGGCGAGAGACCGGTGGCATTTTACTCCCGATCTTTGAACAGTACAGAGGCTCGTTACTCACAGACGGACAGGGAGGGCCTGGCTGTGGTGAGCGGGGTCAAGAAATTTAATTATTTCTTGGCCGGTCGGTCATTCGTGATCCGCACGGACCATAAACCTCTGTTGGGACTGATTGGGGAACAGAAGTCGCTTCCGGTGATGGCATCGCCCCGTGTGATGCGATGGGCGATGCTTCTGGCGGGGTATGATTACCGGCTGCAGCACGTGGCGGGTAGTAAAATACCTCACTGTGACGCGCTGAGTCGGCTTCCCGTGCCGTGCCTGTCAGCAGAGTCTCCGTGTCCCGCTGAGCTCATAAACTTGCTCGAGTTTCTCAACTCCTCGCCGGTCACCGCAGATCAGATCCGTCTTTGGACCGCCAGAGACCCGACGCTGTCCCAGGTGTATCAGTTTGTTCAGAACGGCTGGCCAGAGGTGGACGTAGAACAGGTTGAGCTCCGTCCGTATAAGGCGCGGTTAGGAGAACTTAGCCTGCAGGACGGGTGTGTGATGTGGGGGTCTAGGATCGTCATTCCGCGGCAGGGCCGGAAGGCGGTCTTGGAGTTGATACATGAGGGACATAATGGGGAGAGCAGGTCCAAATCGTTCGCACGCATGTACGTTTGGTGGCCCGGGATGGATGGCGAGATCACGGATACGGTGCGTAAGTGTGTCGCGTGTCAGTTGCAGCGTAACCGAGAGCCTAGCTCGCCGCTGCACCCGTGGGCCTGGCCGGCTGCCCCGTGGGAGCGTGTTCACATGGATTTCTGTGGCCCCCTGAATGGACATATGTTTCTGGTAGTAGTCGATGCGTTCTCAAAGTGGATGGAAGTGTGTCCGCTGCGAGCGGCGACCACAGAGTCTACAGTAGAAGCGCTCCGTGTTCTATATGCCCGGTGGGGGTTGCCGAAAACCGTCGTGTCTGACAATGCTCAATGTTTTGTTAGCGCTGGTTTTAAAAGGTTCTGTGAGGAGAATGGTGTTCGGCACATTACCACTCCGCCATACTCGCCAAAGTCCAATGGCTTGGCCGAGAAGTCTGTTCAGACGTTTAAACACGGGTTTACTCGTCAGAAAACCGGTTCCGTTTTGTGTAAAGTGTCGCGTTTTTTGTTTAAATACCGTGCCACCCCGCATAGCACGACTATGCGATCCCCGTCTGAGCTGTTTCTCGGTCGGCAGTTCCGGACGCATCTGGATAGCCTGCGCCCGGACTTGCGTCGACGTGTGGAGCAACGTCAGTGCGCTCAGAAGAGCTCGGCGGACCGCGGGGCTAAGGAGCGCCACTGTGTGCCCGGTGATGCCGTGTACGTGTCGGCGGTGGACAGACTGAGCGGGGTGGAGGGAGTGCGTTGGCTGCCAGCGGTTGTGGTAAGCCGCAAGGAAACCGAAGTGGTCGTTTGTTTGGAGAGTGGGAATTTGTTGCGTAGACATGTAGATTGTGTGAGGATGCGCGTGACGAACGGGACGGAAGGGTTTGATGATGTAGAGTTAGCACCCAGTGTTGTGCCGGCAGCTCCGCCCGCTGCAGTGCCATGTGATGTACCCGTCGGCGGCGACCGTCCAGGCCGGGCGCTCCGGTCGAGCGACCAGCGCCGGGCGCCCAGGCGCTTAGGCTACGATAGAGATTTCGCCCAAATATCTGTGGTGGAGGGATGCGGTAGACCACGCCCAAAGCCAGGGCCCGGGTAGCCGGGTCGGGGCAGCCTGCGCTGACCCAAGCCGGGGCCGCGCGTCTTCCCGGTGTCATGGATAGCCTGGGGCTGCGGTGGCGTCAGCGCTCGGGCCGAGGACGGCCTGTGTGTCGGGAATAAACAGTCTGGAACCGACTCAGGGAGGCACCGGTTCTGACGTCACACGAAAATATCAGTCGGCTGGTTGTGGCACTGCCCCCTGCCGGCGCGACTGTGCTGCCACCTAGCTAAGCCTAGTCAGCCTAGGACGGGACGGTTTTACTTTTTCTCGTCGAGTGGGGCAGCTTGCGACGACACTCGGTCGACATAGCTGTGCTGCAACATACCCCAGGTTCGGAGTCTCTCGGACAGCCAATCCTGTTCCATAACCACAGCTAAGTCCCCGCTGACCTTAACCAGGATTGGCCGGACGACGTTGAATCTTCGTAGTTTGAGAGACACCGAACCCGCGGATAGCTCTGTCGAAGCCTTGGCGGCTGAAGAAAGACCAGACATATCTCACTTGATTTTGGCGTGGCCAGCCTCACTTCTGTAGTTTTGCTTCACAGCATTCCACGTTCTATTGAGTTTCCGGTTGCTTAGTACACGACCACGTTAAGAAACTTGATGTCTTTTAGATACATCACGCAATGACAAACTTTTGGCAGCATTTACATTTGTTGCCTGCATATTTTGGTGAGGAAAAATCACTATCGCAGTAGTACAATCAAGACATACCACAAAGGATCAGAGCTAAAGCAGCATTATTAATCAAAAGGTATTGCATTGATCACCAGCATGTTCGTAAAATAAAATACATCACGAATAAAGATGACAACCAAGCCGGACCAGGACACTTATGACAAACATGAACGCTAAAGTGGCAACACAAACGAAAGAGAGAAGAGGAATCTGCCCTTCGCAATCGTTAACCTAAAATAAAACTTCAAATATACAACAGACTTCTGTGCATTAAAAGAACATGAATATACTCGCTTTGTCGTCGACACATAATGGGAACATCCTGCCGGCCCAGCCAAACAGCGCGCCCGCCTTCGAGTAGGAAATGGCAGCGGCCGCAGAAGTGGCCAACAGATACATTGTTCGTCACGCCACCTGCACTGAAACGTACCAGCTATTTAATCGTGAAATGTAGCTAGCCATCCAAAAATGTTGCACTACACCAGCACTACCGCACAGTTAGCAGATAGGTACGGACCGCAGGTCCTGGTCTCTGTCTCTTCCGAGTACGGTCTCCGGACCGGTCACCAGCGCCACCATCTCCGCGCGGTAGCTATAGCACAACTCTCCGGCCGGGGCCCGCAGTTCCTCGACCTCTTCGTCCAGCCAGACCAGCACGGCTCCCGCCCAGCGCCTGAAGACTCCGCCCTCCACAGATCCGTCCGTCCAAAGCCGGACAGCACACAGGGGCAGGAACGCGAGGTGCAGCGTAGCCACGCTTTCCCTTTCCGCCGCCGTGGCCCCAGCCCGGATCGGGCACACGTCCAACCGGAAGGTGACGCCAGCCGTCTGTTGCCACGGTGGGATTCTCGCTCTCGCCCAGGCCTGGCGGCCTCGCAATCTCCAGCCTCGGACCGAAGGCAGGCGCGCCGGTGCCGAGGCCTCGGCGGTCGCGCGCAGGGGGTCCCCTGATGGCAGACCCAGCGCCCTCCCCAGCAGCCTGGCAGCCAGCGTCCAGTTTCTCTCCTCCATCGGAGAAAGTCGGGCTTCCGCCATTAGTGCGTGGCACGGTGTTGAGTGCGGACACAGGTGATGATGCGGCCGCCTCCCGCAGTCCTCGCTCCAGGAGATTCACGTGCGAGGGGGCGGCCGCCGGCAGCCACGCGACGGCAGCGTGTTCGAGCGTCCCTCGGACGTAACCGATTGACCACCGTACTAAGGGCACCCTCGTCCAGGCCCCACCTATTCAACCAGGTTGACGGCGCCGTAGCCGTCAGAACCTGGTGATCACTCGAGTCACGCCACAGAGCTCACGCCTCAAAGCGGTTGGCTCTCCGGTCCTCGGCATCCGGCATCCGCAGTGATTTGGCGTATCCAGGACACGTGAGATGCTGGCCTCAGTCATAACCGGAAAGCCTGTAAAAAAAAAACAATATGTGATTGACAAATGGAAATATATTGTATGCAGAGTTGAGAAATCATGACGCACACTGCATTGTGACAGTAGATAGTTTAGTGTGATTGGCAGAGGAGGGACTTATTGTAATAAAACAATAAACAATTGAGGCATTGATTTGATTTTGTAGGTAGCTACCTACCCTTCTCATATGAATCTGGATGATTTGTACCATTAAGAAAAAGAAAACATAGGCGGCCTAGGATCGGGAAGGGGATGTCCCCACTTTTCAGTTATGCTAAAAATAAAATATTTATTTTTCATTTAAATTCAAAACTAACAGCAAGAAATTGTTCAGCAAGGTGAGATAAGCACGAAACTGTAAAGAATTTGTTCATAGGGGTATTGGGGTTCCCACAAAGTGACATTGAAGTTCTCTGCCCCCCTCCCCCCACACTTTACGTGAGGTTCCTGCGCCCATGGAAAAAAACACATTGCATTATGTGCATCAACACTTAACCCTTGCACTTAGAGAGGGCCACAAAGCCCACTATAAAGCCCACAAGACACCACCTGAAATCAAAGCATGACAAATGATAGCATGTAGGCACCTGGCCTACTATAACCTACTGAACCAAACATACCCCATATATCAATATGTATGTGTAGATAAAGTATGAATGGTAGGTTAATACCAAGGCTGTTTAGTAGGTTGTAGGCATGCTGAAAGGATGAAAGATGGGTATTTGTTAAAAAAATATCTGATCTCCAGTTCATATGAATATGCAACATGGGGTGCAGACTGGAAAAAAATACACGTTAAGCCGAATATGTCCGGCGTAGTGGCGGGATTGCGCCGAAAATTTAAGCGCACGTCCGGCGTAACTTCGCATGCGCCGAATTCAGCGCATGGCGGCGGACGAATTTTTCGGTGCAGGGTGGTCGCATAATTTTTTGGCGAAAACAGTCACCGAATTTATGCGGTACGCTGGTCAATCTAGCAGCAGATTCGCCCCGTGGGCAGCTCTGGAGAGGCTGCGGGACGAGACGTCCCCGCCCCGGTCGTCGCGTGCTCGAACTGGCGAGCCGCCCTGAGTCTACTTGCAGCGGAGGAACGGCCGCCCAGGTGAGGCCTCAACCTTCGGCGTAGAGATAGGCATGGAAAACCTTGTTGAACGTCGCCAAGCGTCGTTAAGCAATAGCAGTGGGTTCCTGCCCACTGCAGTATCGAGGGGAATGAGAGCGTGGACGATCTGGCAAAACTAGCGGCCGCCCTGCCCTCAAACGCCCGATCACTGACCAGGGCGGTTCATTGTGCGGCCTCGAATCAGTGGCACGACAACTGCTCAGAATCACTATTCAAGCCACTCCTCGGGAGCACGCCGCCGCTCCCTCTCCCCGGAGAGGACCGAGAGGATGCCATTTCGGTGCACCAGATGAGGGCGGGCCACCGGGGCAGCTCGCTCCAATACGGCACCGAATCGGCTGTCTCCACCCCGCCGCGTGTCAGCAGTGCCCAGACAAGCGGTGCCCAGCGGCGCTCTGCACCGTGAGCCGAGAAGAGGCTGATGTGCCGGAGCACGTGCTGCTCCGCTGCCGGGCCCTCGCTGGCTCCCACCGAGGTATTGGGTTTACGTGGAAATAAAAACTAATTCGGACGCTCAAACATGGGATAGTGTACATTGTACAAAGCCCCGAAACACTCTGCCTGGTTGATATAGCCTTGATCAGTATATGTGCACATGTGCTTTATATGAAAAGGGCTTAATTTTCGCACAAATAGGCACCTAATTTTTGGCGCAAATCACTCAGAAATTTCGGCGCAAAATCGCTTGCGCCGAATTTCGGCGCAAGATAGGTAGTCTCACGGGCATCCGGCATAGTGTATGGATGTTTTCCAGTCTGGCATGGGGTTAGGTAAGGTTTGATTTTTGTTTTGTATTTGTATCACATGTAAATATCATATCTGGATTCAGGATGTCAAATAGTGCAAGAATGTACAAAATGTATGCCTGAAAAGTGAATCACTCTTTCTGAACATTTACTAAAAGTGGTAGTTTAGTACGCGAAGGTTAGGCTAGGGTAGATGATGTTTTTTATCTTCACCATAGTTTATCTACACAGTAACCGAGAAACCCTCGTCCAGACATAGCAATAGCCGTAGGCATGGCAAATCATCGAAAAATTAATATTTTTCTGCTCATCAGCATTTGACCAAAATAAGGGTTCTAGCATGTCTGGTTATTTCAGGTTATGTTAGGTTATATGAAGGTGAGGTTAAAACTTTAACAAGCTCTAAGACATATATACGGGCTTCATCTGAGGTTAATATTGAGCTAGGGGTCTGGGTACCCACCTTCCTGTCAGGCCATGATACTTGACACACCATCCTGCTATCTGAGGCGGCCCAGGAACCAGCTCAAGCAATTACAATGAAAGTCAACAGTCGTGCGGGCATTACACCACTCCTCATTAGAATATATCAAGTAATTAGTTAATGACGATAATCCCGCCACCACAAATCTTATGAAACGCATCAACATTGACCTTTGATATTCCGAAAAGAAATATCCATAACACTGAACTCTATAATGATTTAAAGTGAACGTGTTCTTACGCAGCTGTGACATAAGCTGCGCATACGAAAAACACCCGCTAGACCAATTGATGGCGAATAAACCTGTTGATGAAGAAATACTTGTCTCCCATTGGTCTGTGAACACAATCTGCAGGAAACGCAGCTTAAACTACAGTAAAATTTTGCTGGAAAATCTGCAGAAAGTAAGAAAAATGCAATTTAAACATATTTAGCCAATGAGTCTGGCCAATCTGTTGATATATTCCGATAGATATTGAGCACGATCAGGCATTTTGAAAGAATTACGGTCCGACTCTCTTTATTTTTAAAGCA